TGGGGCCTCCCAGTTGAGTCGCAGGGAGCTGGTGGTCACATCGGTCACCGACAGCTGGGACAGGCGCGGCCCTGGGTCCCCAGGGGTCTGACCAGCAGGCGGTGGCCCTGTGTGGAGCAGGTGCCAGAGGAGGGTGTGGAGAGAGACGCACACCAGCCTAGCGGCCTGGGGCAGGTCCCACTGATGCGCCGCCCAGCCCCGGCCCCGCTTCCTCTTCGCACCGTGAGCAAGAGGCTGTGAGTGGGGGCAGCGGCGACGGTGCCGAGGCCTCTCCTCCCCGGGCCCTCCTCATGCTCTCCCCACCACGCCCCTCGCCTTCCCAAGCCCAGCGAGGGCCGCCGCCCTGGTACCTGTGGTGCCCTGCACGGAGATGGGCCCCTGGCGCCTCCCTTCGTGCAGCCCGGAGAGGAAGAACTTGTAGGAGGTGCCGGGCTCCAGGCCAGAGATGACGACCCTGTTCTGATCGCCATCCACCAGCAGGGCCTGGGGCTGTCCGCTTGTGTCCTCGTACTGGACCACGAAGGAGTCGAAGGGGCCCCGGGCCACGCTCCAGGAGAGGCTCAGGGAGTCCGGTGTCACCTCGGTCACTGCCAGCAGCCCCAGGCGAGGGGCTTCTGGGGGCTCAGGGTCCTCTGGGGCAGGAGTGTCCTCTTCTGGGGCTGTGTGGGGGAAGCCCGGGAAGAAAGTGAGCAGGGAACCGGGGCTCCGCCCTCTCCCTCCTGCCCCTGAGAGAAGGGGCTTCCACAAGGCCAAGGCCAGGCGAGGACCTCACAGGTCCCAGCGCAGCAGCCGGGAAGAGAAGGGAGGGCCTGGGGTCTGCAGAAGAGAATAGAATAGGAGCCTCCTTAGGCCTTCCAGCTAATCCTGACTCAAAGGGGTCAGAAACCAACTTTACTAGTGAGATCCCCCTGGGAAGCAAGTCAAGGACAGAGGGGGAGAAAAGGAAAGAAAAACCTGGTAAAGAAAGGCATCAAATGGCCTTGGGACCTGCACCAAGAGACCAGAAAAAGAGCTGACAAGCAGGGACACAGAGAATCCAGGGCACCAAAGGATCAGCCACCCCCGCCTGCAGTGGAAGGAATTCAGGAAGCCAGGGGCCTGAGTAACTTTAAGGAGTGTGTTCACACCTGTGCACTGACACGCACGTGTGTTCACGCTGCACACCGTTTATTCACTCCAGCGGCACTGGAGCGTACAACAGATGTCCGCGTGCCCCTTTCTAACCCTAAAGGCACCCCCTTGCCAACAAGCTCCCCACCCCAAAGATAAGGCCTTAAAGGTAGGACAAGGAAACAGACAGACAGAAGCAGAGGTGGACTCCCAAGAGGAATGACTTAGGCAGCAGGGCCTGGGAGTCGGTCCGGTCATGGCGGGTTCCATGGGTCACTCTCCCCCCATACAAGGAGCCGAGAGCCAAGGGCCCCAGTCCTCCACCTTCTCCGAGCCCCTACCCTGATTCTTTCTTGTCAGGGTGGTTATCTATCTTCTCTTCCCTCCTTCCTTTTCCTCTTTGCAAATAAAGTGTTTTCCTTCTGTTAACTCTGCCCCTCTGACTTATTCCGGGGGCTGAGTTAAGACCTTGGTGGGCTGTGCAGACACCAGAGCAGCAGTGCTCGGCCCCAGATGCGATTCTGGGTCTCTAGGACCTCCTGTGTCCCTGCTGTTAGGGATTACGTCTGGATGACCTCTCAAAGCCTCACCCAGCCAGGGATTTGGCTCAGTGGTTCCACCTCATGCCTCGAAAGTGCAAGGTCTCCAGTTCGATCCCCAGTACCAAAAAAAAAAAAAAAAAAAAAAAAAAGGCTCAAGCAGTCACAGCTGGGGCTTTGGGGCGGTGACTGGGTAACAGGTGTGATGCTCATGAGCGGATGAGTCACAGCTGAGTCTGTAGCTAGGCGAGATGTCGGGAGGGGCAGCCGGCTGGAGGCTTCAGTCCCTGGGGCCTGGCCTGGAAGGGCCTCCCTCTTCCTCCCTTGATCCCTCTCTGCCTACCCTGCCGTGAGCTGCTTCTCCTCTCCCAGGCTGCCCCACCTCTACACTGTGAGCTAAATGAACCTGTCCTCCTCTGAGCTGTGGTATGGGGTGCCGAGTCTCAGCGATTAGAAAGTGACCACGACACCTGCCCCCGCATGAACTTCTGCCATCCCTGGGTCTCCCGGGAAGGGCCTCTGCCGTGGCCCTGTCACTTCCTTCTTACTGCTTCATCGTGCCTGTGCTGTGTTGGAATCACACACCTGGTTCCCCTCCCCACAGGTGCTGCCCCTGCACTGGTGGCCTGGGGCTCCCTCTGAGGATGGAACTGGCTCGCGAACAGGGCTGGAAAGTCACACCACTGGCACAGGGCCCTGGCCTGCATGATCTGAAGTGGCGCCAGTGATTCCAGAAGAGGAGCCTGCCCCGCCACGTGCAGCCACTCCCACGGGCTCCTGTGTCCCCTGCCCGCTGTGTTTTCCAGTGCTTTTCCATTTGAGAAAATGCTGCTGACTACGGTGGCAGGGAGGTTTGCCCCAAGCAGGCAAGGCCGCCTGGCTAGAGATAAAAGCTACCACAACAGGGCAGTGGGCAGCAGCCCCGCGCCGGGCACAGGATGGGGCTAGAGACAGGGCGTCACCACCAGGGTGCGGCCTGCCTGGCACCTGCTTTCGGCCACCTCACTGGCCACAGCAGAGGATGTGGCAGCAACCTCTGCCTCCCCTGGACCCTGCCCGGGCTGCTCCTCCCACTGGTTCTCAGGGCGAGGCACGGGAGAGGGTGGGGCCTTCCCACTGGTTGGTGCCAAGCCGACAGCCTCACCTGTGGCTCCCAGGGCAGAGACGGGGCCCAGGCGCTGTCCTCCTGCGAGCCCATAGAGCAGGAACTTGTATGTCCTGCTGGGCTCCAGGCCCTCCACAGTGACTTCCCTCTGGCCTGCAGCCACCGGAACCGCCTGCTGCTGGCCCTGTGCATCTGTGTACTGCACCAGGAAGGAGTCAAAGGTGCCCTGGGCCACTGTCCATGCCAGGCGCAGGGAGTCAGGGGTCTCTGCACTGGTGGCCAACTCCCCAAGGCGGGGAGGGGTCTGTGGAGTCTCCTCCAGGGGAGCTGTGAAGAGAGGGGAGGCTCCTGGTCAAGACCCACCTGCTGGGGGATCGCTCTGGGCCCGGCTCCCCTCTGGAGGCTGCTGCCCGGCCCTTCCTGCCCTCAGTGCTCCCTGCTGCAGTCAAGGGTGCAATGGATTCACAAAGATCATCTCACAGGGGGGACTGTGTCTAAAAAGTACTTTTTTAAAAAAGGGCTCAGGACGTAGCTCTGTGTGGAGGCCCCGGGTTTAATCTCTGGTAGTGGAAAAAATCCATAGAGAGAGGAGCTCCTAGTGGTACAGAGAGAACCTCGATTTCCCCAGATCTCCAGGCCCTGCAGGCTGTGGCCAGAGCTGAGACTCCCGGGGTGACACCCCAAAGAGGGCAGCTGGCTGGGTGCCAGCCACCCGGGGTGCATCGCCGCCCCCGAGACGGCCCCCCAGCCCCCCAGCCCCACACCAACACTCCCGGGCCAGGGCAGCCGGGTGGGGCGGGCAGAGATGAGAGGAGAAAGCAGGGCAGACGCCCACGGGTGGGGTGTCAACGGCTGCAGTCTGGGATGCCAGGCCCCAGGGAGGCCCCACAGTGCCGGAGTGGCCCGGGCCCTGGCCAAGGTGACTTAGGTTCCTGGGGTCAGGAAGGGTCAGGGACCCACGCCACCCCTGCCTCGGGGCTGAATCTCAGGCGCAAGGGACCCGGGTTTCCACAGCCTTAGCAGCCAAGCCTTCCTCATGTTCCACCTTTTGCCCTGCGCTTGGGGCAGAGGTGGGCACTGGCTGAGTGCCAGTGGGGTGACTCATCTCCACCACACAGGGGAGGAGGCAGTGGCTTGGCCTCGGCCACACTGCTGCTAGGGGCCAGGCTGGGAGTGACCTTTCACGTCTGACCCGCGCCTGAAGGGACCGGTGTGGGCTCAGGCTCACGGCCCGCACAAGGCGGGGCTTGGTCTTGGCAATGCGATCGTTCTGCCCGTACTAAAGGTGAAGGCCGGGACAGAGACGTGGCAGGGTCTGGGCTCACTTGTGGTGCCTTCGGCAGAGATAGGGCCCAGCCGCTTCCTGCCCGCCAGGCCGTAGAGCAGGAACTTGTATCTCTTATTTGGCTCCAGGCCAGATACGGTGACCTCGCGCTGGTCTGCGGCCACCGGCACCATCTGCGGCTGCCCGTGCCGGTCCTTGTACTGGACCACGAAGGAGTCAAACTCGCCCTCGGGGACCGTCCACGTGAGGCCCATGGAGTGAGGGGTGGCGTCGGTCACTGTCAGCTCCCCCAGGCGAGGAGAGGGTTTTGTGTCTGGGACTGGAAAGGAGGGGGCAGAGCACAGACAGAGACAATGGCAGTGAAGCAGAGTGACTTCTCGGGGTGCTGTGGCTCTGGGGTCCCCGGAGCCTGCGGAGGGCGAACTGGCCAGGAGTCGGACGAGAGAGGAGCCAGCAAAGACTTGGGGAGGAGGAAGAGGGGTGGCGGGGCCCAGGGAGGTTCACTTCAACAGCTGCCCCAGGGCGGCTTCTGCCCTCCGTCACTCACAGGTCTTCGCGTCCACGGAAACAGGGCCACGGCGCTTCCCGTCCTGGAGTCCAAAGAGCAGGAACTTGTACTTCCGGGCCGGGTGCAGAGCCGAGACAGTGGCCTCACGGAGGTCGCCATGCACGGGCACCGCCTGGGGCTGCCCCTGAGCGTCTCTGTACTGCACCAGGAAGGAGTCGAAGGGGCCCTGGGCCACCGTCCACGCCAGGCGCACTGTGTCGGAGGTCACGGAGGCTACAGCCACCTCCCCCAGGCGGGGCTCTGCAGGGGGCTGCGTGGGCAGGGCAGCTGCAACAGAGCACAGGGTGTGAGGGGCGGGTGCTGTCCCGGGTCCGAGGTGGACCTGTCACCTGCTCTTCCCAGGAGCAGCTACAGAGTTCGCAGTATGCCGGGCCCTCACTCTGAGACCATGACCAGAGCTGCCGGATTTGAGGGAACAGAGCTTAAGGAGGGCGCCCAAAATCCCAGTTAGAATTGGGGGTAAATCCAGATCCTGGCAACCTGAATCTGGATGAAGCCCCAGTCACTAAAATACCCAAGAGGGGAGCCTGAGGACCCAATGGAGAAGGAAGGAAGTGACCACAGTGGGACGAGGCAGCCAGAAGCACAGGAGGAGGGCACTGGCAACACGGAGGAAATCAGTAACCAGAAGGCCCGGAAAAAGGAGCTGAGGCCTGCAGGGATCAATGGGAGAAAATGGGCGGGGAGCTGGGAGAAGAGCCAGCCTTCACTCACCGGTCACGGCCACGACGGACACCGGGCCCGCGCGCCCGTCCTGGTGCAGCCCGTACAGGTTCATCTTGTACTTGCGCCCTGCGTCCAGGTCCCTCACGGTGGCCGCCCTCTCCTCGCTCCCCACGCGCAGCACCTGCGGCCGCCCGGCCCCATCCTTGTACTGGATGCTGAAGGAGTCGAAGTCGCCCTGGGCCACCGTCCACGCCAGGCTCAGGGAGTCTGGGGACGCGTCTGTCACTGTCAGCTCCCCCAGGAGCGGCTCCTCGTGGGGCTCCGGGGCCTCTGCGCTGGGCTCTGTGGGGCTGGGGGTCTCCTCCTCTGCAGCTGACAAGGGGCGACAGAGGGTGAGGGGGTCCCCAGGTGACGTCCTCGCGTCTCGGGGACCAGGAGGGAGAGGCCGTGGCCCCCAGTGGGGACCTGGGTCAGTTCAGAGAAGCCACCCCTGGGCCTGGGTGTCTCCCTGGGGACAGCAGACAGCCTGGCTGAGCTCACGGAGCAGCCGGGGACACCAGGCGCTCACCAGTGCAGCAAAGGCCCCGATGCCCTCCCTGCCCGGGAACAGAGTCATCCTGGGGGGGACAGAGGCCCACAGCCCCAGTGACCGTCACCGGACCCTGCCACCACCCCTGCTCGGGCCAAGGACAAGGGAGTCAGCGCCCACGGGTCCCTCCCCAGGGCTCCCAGTGTCCCCTCACCTGTCACCCCAACAGCAGACACGGGTCCCACACGCTGGCCGCCGTGGAAGCCGTACAGGGTCACCTTGTACTTGTGGTCCGGCTCCAGGCCCGACAGGGTGACCTCGTCCTCGTGCCCCGGGACCCGCACCAGCTTGGGCTGCCCATCCCCGTTCCTGTACTGGACCAGGAAGTGGTCAAACTGTCCCTCGGGGACCGTCCAGGAGAGGCTCAGGGAGTCCGGGGTGGCGTCGGTCACGGTCAGCTCCCCCAGGTGCGGCTTTGGGGGCGGCTCGGGGGTCGTGGTGGGCGCTGCTTGGGTGGTCGGAGCTTCCTCCTCTGGTGCTGGACACAGGGGGGCACAGGTGAGGTCCCTTCCCCCTCGGTTCCCGGGGTAAAGGACACCACACAGAACCCTCAGCTCCTATTCTTTTCCCAGATGTTTGTAGCCTCCTGGCTTTTGCACAAGCTGGGGCCTGACACACTTTTTTCTAAAGCTGTCCGCAAGCCGATGCCCACCGGACCTCAGGTCTGTGATATCCACTGGGTGCCCACAGTAACCCTGCCCAGCTTCCAGGTCCTGGTCTGGCCCCTGGCTGCCCATGCTGTCCTCCTGCTGTTGTTTGCTGGCTTTCTGACTGTGCCCCCAAATGCAAGCCCCATGACAAGGGGAACTTTGTCACTTTTTCATCGCCATCCTGAGAGAGAGACAGAAGTCACCCCGACACCATGGACAGCCCGGTCCCTCCACTGGGCCTTGTGCACGGGACCAGCCTGGAGCAGCTCAGTCTTGCGAGCCACTGGAGCACAGACTGTTTCCGGGACACCCTCATCAGATGGCCCGCTACCAGGGTGAGCCGACAGCCGGCTTGGATCCTCATCCTACACCGACACCAACACATGCCCAACTGCGCAGGGCAGCAGATGTTCTCCCGCAGACTCTGAGTGGCGGCTGCTGCTTCCCACGCGTGGCTGGGCCTCCCTGAGATCCCCCTTATGACGGGGCCTCACAAGACCTCACGGTACACTCCAGCCTTCTGCCGACAGCGTCCAATTCGCACACATCTGCCTCTGAAGTCCCCAGGTTACCTCACATGAGCCAGGATACAGAACAGTTCTGCACCCCAGACCTCACCAGGACACCGGGGCCCGCCCTGCAGGGAGCACACAGGCTTTTGCTCCTCACAGCTGCATCACCCGAGGGCTTTGCCCAGGGACGGTCACACCCTAGGCCTCTGTGCCTAGCTCAGGGCCTGCAGGTCCAGGGAGTAACAGACTCCCCACTGGAGGAAAGAGCCTGTGCGCAGGCCTAGGAAGATGCTGCACCCTGAGTTCCATCCCTGGTCAGAGGAGAAAAGCAGGTGCAGTCCTGTAGCCACACAAATTCAAAGAGAACGTGAGGCTCCTCTGCCTGACGACCAGGCTGGCAGCCCACAGCAGTGCCCCCTTCTGCAGGACCTTCCCAGGATTGTCAGCACTCAACACCAGCCCCGCAGCACTGCTGAGATCAAGGGTTAATGCAGGAAGCCCATAGAGAAAGCAACTTCTACAGCTCTGATTTCCTGCCCCTCACCAATCCACGGTCACTCACCGGTCACGGCCACGATGGACACCGGGCCCGTGCGCCCGTCCTGGTGCAGCCCGTACAGGTTCATCTTGTACTTGCGCCCCGCGTCCAGGTCCCTCATGGTGGCCGCCCTCTCCTCGCCCCCCACACGCAGCACCTGCGGCCGCCCGGCCCCATCCTTGTACTGGATGCTGAAGGAGTCGAAGTCGCCCTGGGCCACCGTCCACGCCAGGCTCAGGGAGTCTGGGGACGCGTCTGTCACTGTCAGCTCCCCCAGGAGCGCGTCCTCGTGGGGCTCCGGGGCCTCTGCGCTGGGCTCTGTGGGGCTGGGGGTCTCCTCCTCTGCAGCTGACAAGGGGCGACAGAGGGTGAGGGGGTCCCCAGGTGACGTCCTCGCGTCTCGGGGACCAGGAGGGAGAGGCCGTGGCCCCCAGTGGGGACCTGGGTCAGTTCAGAGAAGCCACCCCTGGGCCTGGGTGTCTCCCTGGGGACAGCAGACAGCCTGGCTGAGCTCACGGAGCAGCCGGGGACACCAGGCGCTCACCAGTGCAGCAAAGGCCCCGATGCCCTCCCTGCCCGGGAACAGAGTCATCCTGGGGGGGACAGAGGCCCACAGCCCCAGTGACCGTCACCGGACCCTGCCACCACCCCTGCTCGGGCCAAGGACAAGGGAGTCAGTGTCCCACGGGTCCCTCCCCAGGGCGCCCAGTGTCCCCTCACCTGTCACCCCGACAACAGACACGGGTCCCACACGCTGGCCGCCGTGGAAGCCGTACAGGGTCACCTTGTACTTGTGGTGCGACTCCAGCCCCGACAGGGTGACCTCGTCCTCGTGTCCCGGGACCCGCACCAGCTTGGGCTGCCCATCCCCGTTCCTGTACTGGACCAGGAAGTGGTCAAACTGTCCCTCGGGGACTGTCCAGGAGAGGCTCAGGGAGTCCGGGGTGGCGTCGGTCACGGTCAGCTCCCCCAGGCGTGGCTTTGGGGGCGGCTCGGGGGTCGTGGTGGGCGCTGCTTGGGTGGTCGGAGCTTTCTCCTCTGGAGATGGACACAGGGGGGCACAGGTGAGGTTCCAAGGAAAGGGGCATCTGCAGGAAATAAACCTGAGGAGCGAGTAATGCCAGCCACAGGGGCACTGCCGCCTCGCCCTGCTCCTTTGCTTTCACCACTCTGCGCACAGCCCCCTTACCCTGTCACACTGGGCTCTCTGGACCCGTCTATGTCCTTGTGATCTCTGACTTCTGACCCCAAATTTTAGCAGGGCCACGAGGACACTGTGTCCCTGGCCTCCCTCAACGGGGTTCTCTCTCATCATTTCCTTGCTCACGTGGCTCAGGACTTTGCTACCAGGGTCCCGCTTCCTCTTCCCGCAGCAGCCCTCACTCACCGGTCACGGCCACGACGGACACCGGGCCCACGCGCCCGTCCTGGTGCAGCCCGTACAGGTTCATCTTGTACTTGCGCCCCGCGTCCAGGTCCCTCACGGTGGCCGCCCTCTCCTCGCCCCCCACACGCAGCACCTGCGGCCGCCCGGCCCCGTCCTTGTACTGGATGCTGAAGGAGTCGAAGTCGCCCTGGGCCACCGTCCACGCCAGGCTCAGGGAGTCTGGGGACGCGTCTGTCACTGTCAGCTCCCCCAGGAGCGGCTCCTCGTGGGGCTCCGGGGCCTCTGTGCTGGGCTCCGTGGGGCTGGGGGTCTCCTCTTCCTCAACCTCTTGCAATGCTGGAGAAGAGATGAAGGCGCACAGGGGGTAAGGGCACCTGCAGTGCTAATGCTGCCATCAGGACAGGGAGGCCGCAGGCACTGCTGCTCACCTCCCTCCGGCAGCTGGAAAGAGCACATCAGGAGCCAAAAGAGTGCTCATTTCCTCTGACCAACTAACCCCAGTTCTGGGCATCTCTCCTAAGAAAATTATTAAAAGGAGGAAACTCTTATAACATGGAAGAGTTCATAACAGGATTATTCATGACAGCAAGATGTGTCAGGAACCCAAACGACCCATAAAGGATGATTCTTTTTGTTACAGTGCCATCACCAGAAAGCATCAAATAACCACTAAAATGATGATTTGGGCAGGCTGTGGGGCCTCACCGTAAAGGCTCACAGTTTATCTTGGATGTGGAAAAGTGAGAGCCGAGAGCTCTGTGACCGCGCTGACCACAGCCCTGAAACACACTCTGAGACGTAGGAGGGCCGTGTGCCGTGCACATCGGGTGTGGTCTGGTTCTGCAGGCCAGGGACGGTGCCCAGGGCCTCGGTCCTGCCAGGCAAGCGCTCTCCTGACAAGCAATGGCCGTTACTGGGTCAAAAGTTGTGGTTTTTGAGGTTATAATTTTTTCTAGTTTTTAAACTTTCCATAACACTCCTAAACTCTTCTCACTATAAAAACATGGGCGTAAGCCAGGTTTGGTGGCACACGCCTGTAATCATAGCACTCAAGAGAGGGCTGAGGCAAGAGGATCGCTGAGAGTTCAAGGCCAGCCAAACTACGTAACAAGGAACTTGTCTCAAAAAAACCAAACAGCCGGGTTTGGTGGCGCACGCCTGTAATCCCAGCACTTGGGAGGCTGAGGCAGGAGGTTCGCTGTGAGTTCGAGACCAGCCCGGGCTACATAGTGAGTTCCAGGTCAGTCTCAACTACATAGTGAGACCCTGTCTCAAAATAAACAAACAAACACTGAAACAAAACCCCAAAAAATGAGTTTAAAAAGAAATTCTGGAAAAGAAGTTGAATGAATGGGTTAGTGCAGGGAGGGCAGAGCTGTGCCGGTAGAGGGGGCAGGGCACAGGCCCCTCAGCTGCCGTCTGTGCTCAGCAGACGCTGCTGTCCTCTCTGAAGGGATGAGGAGAAACAAAACCAAGCAGCGGCTAAAACGAACTGTGCATCCCCAGGGCGTGAGGTTTTCTAAGGTTCATTTCCTGATGGTGTGGTGCCCTGAGTAGGCGGTCACGGGAGAGGGCCAGCCCCGGGAGGGGACGGCCAGGGGCCCAGGTGAGTCTCGGGGTGAGGGCCGCTGAGTCAACAGAACAGGGCCTGCTGCTCCTGGGGCTCCTCTTGCCTTGTGGTTTGCTGTCTCCTTCCCGAGGTCCCAGTGCACTAACCTTCACAATCAGAAAAAGAAGTTGGGAGAGAGACGGGGGAGCGGGACAGACGGAGGGCAGGGAGGAGACATTGTGTTTTTCTCTGATTATAAAAGAAACAGAGGAAAAATAAGAAATACTTGCCATTTAAGAAAATCTGGACAATGCAGAACAGAAAGAAACAACCCCCTCCAAAAAAACCCTCACTGGGACACTTTATTCTAACAACCTGTCCGTGGGACGTACTTATTTCCATGTCTGTTATTTTCAAATGGCTGTTATTGCACCCTTGGAAAAATGTTGGGCTCGGTTTTTTCCAGTGGAATATTATAAAGTTATTGTTTTATGTTAAAACATTTTCAGCGGCAGCATAATAGCTCATTTTAAGGATACTGTCTGCATCATTCAGTTACCGCAATTGGTTCTGATGTGGGGTTATTCTTTTGTGTGCATGGGTGTTTGTGATTCTATAACAAAGAAACACTTGATTAATAAGGAAAGAAAGGAAAATCCTGGTTAGATGCAGCTGGGCTTGTATTAGATGTGTTCAGGTAGACAGTAGCTGAGGGGTTGCTGTGCAGTGGAAAAAGAGGGTGCGGATAGGAAAAGATCAAAGCACTTGGCAGAAGCCATGGTCAAAGGCTGAGGAAGGACGTGGATCAGGAGCCAGAGCTGCAGAGAGAACAGAGCATGAACCAGGAACCCATTAGAAAAGGAAGAAAGGCCCTGAAGGCCCAGGCCCTACTCACCGGTCACGGCCACGACGGACACCGGGCCCACGCGCCCGTCCTGGTGCAGCCCGTACAGGTTCATCTTGTACTTGCGCCCCACGTCCAGGTCCCTCACGGTGGCCGCCCTCTCCTCGCCCCCCACGCGCAGCACCTGCGGCCGCCCGGCCCCATCCTTGTACTGGATGCTGAAGGAGTCGAAGTCGCCCTGGGCCACCGTCCACGCCAGGCTCAGGGAGTCTGGGGACGCGTCTGTCACTGTCAGCTCCCCCAGGAGCGGCTCCTCGTGGGGCTCCGGGGCCTCTGCGCTGGGCTCTGTGGGGCTGGGGGTCTCCTCCTCTGCAGCTGACAAGGGGCGACAGAGGGTGAGGGGGTCCCCAGGTGACGTCCTCGCGTCTCGGGGACCAGGAGGGAGAGGCCGTGGCCCCCAGTGGGGACCTGGGTCAGTTCAGAGAAGCCACCCCTGGGCCTGGGTGTCTCCCTGGGGACAGCAGACAGCCTGGCTGAGCTCACGGAGCAGCCGGGGACACCAGGCGCTCACCAGTGCAGCAAAGGCCCCGATGCCCTCCCTGCCCGGGAACAGAGTCATCCTGGGGGGGACAGAGGCCCACAGCCCCAGTGACCGTCACCGGACCCTGCCACCACCCCTGCTCGGGCCAAGGACAAGGGAGTCAGCGCCCACGGGTCCCTCCCCAGGGCTCCCAGTGTCCCCTCACCTGTCACCCCGACAGCAGACACGGGTCCCACACGCTGGCCGCCGTGGAAGCTGTACAGGGTCACCTTGTACTTGTGGTCCGGCTCCAGCCCCGACAGGGTGACCTCGTCCTCGTGCCCCGGGACCCACACCTGCTTGGGCTGCCCATCCCCGTTCCTGTACTGGACCAGGAAGTGGTCAAACTGTCCCTCGGGGACCGTCCAGGAGAGGCTCAGGGAGTCCGGGGTGGCATCGGTCACGGTCAGCTCCCCAAGGTGCGGCTTTGGGGGAGGCCCGGAGGTCGTGCGAGGGGGCTCTGCCAGGATTGTGGTCATTGTTTCGCCTCTTTCTGGATCTGGGTCTGGAGTAAACACACCAGTTGGATTTGTCTGGTGAGGTCCCTGCTAAGGGACAGGTGTCTGGGATTTCTCTTGGACACATGGGGTCCCCATGGGCCCTTGGCTTGAATCCTTCATCACCAGGGCACAGCAAAGGCTGGTGGTGAAGCCAGCATGGTCAGTAGAACCCTGTAATGTCTCTGAGAGCTGACCCTATCTCTTGTGAGCTGTCAAATGCATCTGTTTATTTTAACAGACACAGAACTAGCAGCCATCCAGGGCATTATTGAAAGGGACACCCTCATGGGTTTGGAAATCCTACTTAACAGTGCTGTCCTTTATATGCCCAGATTCAAGGTGGGCGTGGTGGCACACACCTATAGTCACAGCACTCAGGAGGCTGAGGCAGGAGTATCTGCTATGTGTTTGAGGCCAGCTTGGGCTACACAGTGAGTTCAAGGATAGCCTGAACCATGTATCAAGACCCTGCCTCAAAAATTTTGTTTTGAAACAGGGTGTCACTATGTAGTTCAGCCTGGCTTTGCACTCACTGTGCCCCAGGCTGGCCTGGAACTCTTGGCAATCCTCCTGCCTCAGCCTCCTGAAGACTGAGATGACAGGTGTATGCTACCATGCCCAGCAATTCCTGAATATTTTTAGAAACCAACATTTCACCACTGAGGGTAAAGAGATGCAGGGACTGAGGTCTGCCTTCTGGTCACATAGTTCCCACACTCAGGTGAGTGCTAATCTCAAACTGAGACCCCACCTTACTGAGCTCTTTCTGCCTCTGGGAAATGGTGTGCTTTGTTTCCACCCATTTCTCTGGTGTTTTTTTTAAATTGTTATTTTTATTTATTTATTTTTGGTGTTTCTATTATTCGCAGGGTTTCACTTTGCTCTACAGCTGAATCACAAAATCATGGCGTTTCCAGCACTGCTCTGCTGGGAATGGGCCTAAGCTGGGGGCAGCAGTGAGAGTCTCAGGTCACAGCTGGGGTTGCAGGGAAGGGAGGCAGCTGGAGCCCTGACTGACGGGAACTCTCAGCAGTGGCTCCCCGGGGATGGAGTCAGTGCTGGGTGGGCTCAGCAGGCACCAGTCTTGGAGACTGGAGAACACTAGCAATTTTCCCACAGAGTCCACAATTGCGTGAATTTTCCAAGGCGTTTTCAGTACTTAATGACCTCGGAAGGGGAGATCTGCAGTTTTCTCTCCTTGCCTGTGAGCTCTGCCACACTGAGGCAGATGTAGTTATTCCTCCCCACAGGTCAGATGGCTGAGTGCCCACCCAGTGTGCCCGGCTCCCTGCTCTTCCAAGTGCCCACCCGGGGCCTGCACATGCCCAGGCGCAAGTAAAGAGGCCGAGCAGGACATAAAGGCTGGGTACGAAGCCTCAAGCAGGGCCGTTCCCAGAGCCCTGAAGGGTCTGAGACAAAGACACGGAGTCCTGACAGTAAAAAGGGAACTGTGTCCAGCCAGGCGCAAGGCCAGTATCCTCCTGGCTACTCACCGGTCATCCTGACAGCAGACACGGGTCCCACACGCTGGCCGCCGTGGAAGCCGTACAGGGTCACCTTGTACTTGTGGTCCGGCTCCAGCCCCGACAGGGTGACCTCGTCCTCGTGCCCCGGGACCCGCACCAGCTTGGGCTGCCCATCCCCGTTCCTGTACTGGACCAGGAAGTGGTCAAACTGTCCCTCGGGGACCGTCCAGGAGAGGCTCAGGGAGTCCGGGGTGGCGTCAGTCACGGTCAGCTCCCCCAGGTGTGGCTTTGGAAGAGGGGCATCAGGGGGCACCTCCGCAGGGGCTGGGAAAAGACACAGACCCTAGTTCTCTTTAGGGCAGAAGATGGGCAGGTACTGGGCCTAATTTAGGATCCACATCTCGTGACCACCAATGCCAGCCTCCTCTGAGCCTAGGGCCTCTGCCCCAGCCCCCACCCCACCCCGTCGGTGCGGCCCACGCCCAGATTCCTGTAAGACTTTGCTCAAATATTATCTTTTGGGGGGCTTCCCTGACTGCCTTATTTAAAATTCCAACTTCCTCAATTGCAAAATATCTTGCAGAGATAACTCCAGCAACACACTGCAAAACAACTGTCAGACAGGCAGCCGAGACTGGCTACTTGGAGACAGTAAAGAATGACTGTTTGGTTTTTAAACTAAGGCAATTAAAACAAAACAACACAAAAAATAGCTTTAAAAGCAAGATAAATTTAAATACTTATGGATTAAAGTATAGTGTGTCTGGGACTAGTTTTATTTAATTCGTGTTTTTTGAGACAAGGTCACACTTTGTAGTTCAGTCTGGCCTTGGTCTATGTAGCCCAGGATGGCCTTGAGCTCATGGCAATCCTCCTGCCTCAGCCTGCTGAGTACTGGGATCACAGGCGCGAGCCACCATGCCTGGCAAGTTTGAAAATATTGCAGTGATATAACCATATAATGGATACCATCTGGTAGTAAAAGCAATGGAATACGGTTCCATGCTACCACACGGACAAATCTCAAAATCACTGTGCTCAAAGAGGCCAGACACAAAAGATGAATTGTACGATTCCATTTATATGAAACATCCAGAAAAAGCAAATTTACCAGGACAGAAAGTAGATTACCAGGGCAACAGGACTGGGGACAGGGGTGGATCTAGAATTGTGGCTTCTTTATTGGGTGATAGGAAAGTTTTAAAATTAGATTGTGTTGATGGTTGTACATTAGGTATGTACAGTAAATAAATTTTGCTCTGAAACAGGCCAGTTTTATGGCACATGGATTACACAGCAATAAAGGTGTTAACAGTGGACACCTCCTCTGGATGACCAGGTGGACCAGGGTGAGCTAGGCCGGACAGGATATGACACTTCGAGGAAGATCATTATTTTTTCTCTTTGTGTGTGCATTTGAATGTTATTTGACACATTTGTGTTGAAGGAATCACTTAATATTTTATGGATTGGGCCAGGGATTTAGCTCAGTGGTGCCACGCCTGCCTGGAAAGCACAAGGTTCCAAGTTCAATTCCCAGTACATTAAAAAAACATTATGGATTTCATGCACAAAAAACAATTCTCCTTTGTTTCTGGGGTATTGCGACTTGTGTCTAGATGTCTCCCCGAGGCCTCATGCAGTTTTTTTCAGAGGTAGCTAAATCTGGAAGGTATGATGCCAGGCCTTAAGGCGTGTGGTCCCTGGACGACCACACCTGAGCAACTGGTGTGACACTGCCCTAATCCGGTGGTCTGAGTAGGCAGAGGGAGCGGAGAGACACTGTTAGAGTCTCTTGTTGCTCTTGTGGTCTTCTGCCACCAGGAACTGTTGCCCTCCTTGTGCCTTTGCCGCCTTGTGGGCACCGAGTTGCTTCTTCTCTGTGCCGCCCATTTCCCTTTCCTGCCTTGGAGCCGGCCAACCATGGACTGGAGCCCTAGGAACTGTGAGCCGAATAAACCCCTCCCCTGTAACTTTGGGTGCCAGGTATCTCTGTCTATGCAATGAGGGAAAAGTAACTAAAACATGGGGAAAGCAGAGAGTTAAAAACCAGCAGCAAACTAGTGCCTTAGAGTTCCAGGGGGGCCTGGGAATGACCCTAGCCTTGACCACACCTGCATTGAGGATGGGAGAAGGTGGAGAGCTTTGGGGTACTGAGTCACCAGCAGAAGGAACACTGCAGGCCTTACTTCCCTGAAATCAAAGCTGGAGGGCCTTTAACCTCCACTCACCGGTCACGGCCACGATGGACACTGGGCCCGCGCGCCCGTCCTGGTGCATCCCGTACAGGTTCATCTTGTACTTGCGCCCTGCGTCCAGGTCCCTCACGGTGGCCGCCCTCTCCTCGCCCCCCACGCGCAGCACTTGTGGTCGCCCGGCCCCATCCTTGTACTGGATGCTGAAGGAGTCGAAGTCGCCCTGGGCCACCATCCACGCCAGGCTCAGAGAGTCTGGGGACGCGTCTGTCACTGTCAGCTCCCCCAGGAGCGGCTCCTCGTGGGGTTCTGGGGCCTCTGTGCTGGGCTCCGTGGGGCTGGGGGTCTCCTCCTCTGCAGCTGACAAGGGGAGACAGAGGGTGAGGGGGTCCCCAGGTGACATACTTGAGTCTCAGGGACTAGGAGGGAGAGGCTGTGGCCCCCAGTGGGGACCTGGGGTCAGTTCAGAGAGGCCACCTCTGGGCTGGGTGTCTCCCTGGGGACAGCAGACAGCCTGGCTGAGCTCACGGAGCAGCCGGGGACACCAGGCGCTCACCAGTGCAGCAAAGGCCCCGATGCCCTCCCTGCCCGGGAACAGAGTCATCCTGGGGGGACAGAGGCCCACAGCCCCAGTGACCGTCACCGGACCCTGCCACCACCCCTGCTCGGGCCAAGGACAAGGGAGTCAGCGCCCACGGGTCCCTCCCCAGGGCTCCCAGTGTCCCCTCACCTGTCACCCCGACAGCAG